AATCTTGATGAACCTAATAGCTATAAGGAAGCCATGGCAGGCCTGGAGTCTGAGAAATGGAAAGAGGCAATGGATAGCGAGATCCAATCCATGTACGATAACCAAGTTTGGAAGTTGGTTGATTATGTGCCCAGACGTAAGACCGTTGGGTGCAAATGGATCTTCAAGAAGAAGACTGACGTGGATGGGAACATACACACGTATAAAGCGTGATTGGTTGCGAAGGGCTTTACTCAAACTCCAGGAGTTGACTATGATGAGACCTTCTCACCAGTTGCGAAGATTAAATCTATTAGAGTGATGCTAGCAATTTCCGCATTTCATGATTATGAAATTTGGCAAATGGATTTCAAGACCGCCTTCCTTAATGGAAAGTTGGCTGAGGATGTTTACATGGCTCAGCCAGAGGGGTTTGTGGATCCGAAGCATCCAAATAGAGTGTGTAAGCTTGAGAAGTCCATTTATGGACTTAAGCAAGCGTCTCGCAGATGGAATCTTTGCTTCGATGAGAAAGTCAAAGAGTTTGGATTTGTACGAAGCGAAGACGAATCTTGTGTATATGTCAAAGCCAGTGGGAGTATAGTAAGCTTCCTTGTTCTATATGTCGATGACATATTACTCATAGGAAACGACATCCCGACTCTGCAGGAAGTCAAGTCCTGGCTCGGGAAGTGTTCCGCTATGAAGGACCTCGGAGAGGCTTCTTACATTTTGGGAATAAGGATAGTAAGAGAAAGAAGTAAGAGACTAATTGGACTTAGTCAGAATACTTACTTAGAGAAGGTACTAAAACGTTTTAGTATGGAAAACTCAAAGAAGGGAGAACTGCCGATACAAGGTAATGCCAAGTTGAGTAAGATGCAAAGTCCAAGTACCGAAGTTGAAATAGCAAAAATGAGCCAAGTACCATACGCTTCCGCAGTTGGCTCAATCATGTACGCTATGACTTGTACTCGCCCTGATGTATCCTTCGCTTTGAGCATGGTTAGCAGATATCAAGGGAACCCTGGCAAAGCACATTGGATTGCAGTGAAGAACATCCTTATGTACCTTCGGAGGACGAAGGAATGGTTCTTAGTCCTTGGAGGGAGTGATGACTTGAAGGTACGAGGGTATAGTGACGCCAGTTTTCAGACCGACAGGGACAACTACCGTTCGCAGTCGGGCTGGGTCTTTACCCTAAATGGAGGAGCAGTAACTTGGAAGAGTTCCAAGCAAGAAACCGTAGCTGATTCAACGTGCGAATCAAAGTACATCGCAGCGAGCGAAGCGTCGAAGGAGGCAATATCGCTAAAGAACTTCATCGGTGATCTTGGAGTTGTGCCTGCCATAAAGGAGCCGATGGAGATTTTCTGTGATAACGAAGGTGCGGTTTCCTTGACCAAGGAACCGAGGGATCATGGTAGATCAAGACATATCGACAGAAAATATCACTTCATTAAACATCGTGTTGAAGAAGGACAACTCATAGTTAAGAGGATATCATCAGAAGATAACCCAGCAGATCCGCTTATGAAGGGACTGAGTAGGGTTAAGCACTTGCAGCATGCTAGGAGTATTGGGCTAAAGGATGATATTAGTATAGATTAGATAGTATTAGAAACGTATAATAGATAAATGTAATTAACATTTGGCGATTAAATAAAGGAGTTTTATTTATGAGTAATGTTACTGTCTTATGTTAATCGTTTAACTATTGTTTCACTTTGCATGTTTTGACTTCCAGAATAATTGAATTTATTAGGAATAATCGAATTGTTCAAATTGTCCACAATCGTTCATATGTTGGAAGTAGATATGAATGAAGATTGTCATGAATTGGTGTGTAGATTGTCTAAATGGTTTTAGACATAGCAAAGGGTTGCTGCAACGTTCATGAGTGCTTATGAACTGGTTTTGAGCATTGGAATAAACCCGCGCTTGCTGGAATCACTTTATGGAATACGATATAAAAGGTGATCGCAAGACGATAATATCATATAGTCTTAAAACCTAGATATATGGTTTATTATTTGTTAATTGATTGTACATTGATAATGCGAAAACGCATCAGTATCTCGGTGTTATAAAACGCATTGTTGTGTATAGTTGGTTAATGAATAAGTAAATGCATATAAGTTGAAGTTTATCTGTAAATTTTAACCTAAGAGGGTAGAAGAGATATCTTGGCCACTCGATGATTTTATTTGACTTATGTGCCGGGCCCAGTCAGAACTGAATTGATGTGTTTGATTAAGTTCTATGTTGAATAAATCGGAGATCGAGAAATCAAATGCTAGACTAACCATTCCATGGGATTGTCAGCATGATATCTAATAGAGGACTGTACGATCCCTTATCTAAAGGACAAGATTGATTAGATCAGAGTTTGACAGCGTCTTTGAGAGCTACGATTGCAAACCGAATTGTACTTGTATAGTTACTAGACTTATCCAAGTGGGAGACTGTTGGAATAGTATCTAAGGCTGCAACTATATTATGCAAGTATTTGACCTGGTTGTGCATGGTCCTTTTGGGTTGCCTTCACCATAGCAACTTGATGGGATGATTTGTTAAGAGAGAGTAAATATTATAAGGAATAATATATAGTTATTTGATTAATATAAATCATAGATTAATTAGTATTAATTTGGTGACTTAAAGAGATTAATTAAATAAGAGGGTATAAACTGTTAATTGTTTGATAGTTAAACTTAAGACTGTAAATCCATACAGATATGGATTGGACAAATTCTAGGAGCTAAAGGATAGCTCAAAATCGTCCATGATGTTATCTAGGAATGGATTTGGATAGCCTTAAGAGAAGATTATCCAATTCGGGTTTAGACTGTAACCCTTAAGGAGTCTGCAAGTATAAATAGACCCTATGGGTAAGGGAAATCAGCATCTCATAAAAAGTAAGAGAACTCTAGCCGATTTCCTCCCCTCTCCTCTCTCCTAAATCATCTTCCTTGCTATTGGTGTTTGTAAGCCATTAGAGGAGTGACATTTGTGACTCTAGAAGCTCCAAGACAACTAGATCAACAAGGAATCGAAAGGTATGGTTCTAGATCTGTTTCAATGTTGTCATTTAACCTAATTAGGCATTAGAAGTCTTGGATTCAAAGCATGTTTAATTAGAAAGCCTAGATCCAAGCATTAGGGTTTTGCATGCGCACATAGGAAAGTTCTTATGGCTAAAACCCATCAGTTTCATCATTGCAACTATTCGGGTTTCCCGCTTGCATTTAAAAACTTCCTCATCTGATCTGCTTTCCTTTTTCCTTTACTTTTATTCTTTCCTCCAATATTGCTTCTTTTTTTCCTCCAATATTGCTTCTTTCTTTTCATTCCTTCCACATTTCTTCTTCTTCGTTTTCGTTTACCCTTTATTACCAAACTATGACATCTATGAACACGGGTGTCGCTCCATCTTCCGAAGAGTTTTCTAGGTTGCAGGAGAGATTCGGTTTCCTCCCTGATCATGGGGTCGAGTTTCCGCATAGGGGGGCCGTCATCTCCTGACGACCAGAAGGAAAGTTTGGAGTTCCTATTCCCATCTTCGAGGCATTGCTCTTATTTCCAATAACCGACTTTTTTGATGAGATCTTGCATCACTATAGTTTCACTGTCGATGACCTTACCCCTAATGTTGTTAAAAAGATAATTGGCTTTGAGATGGCATGCCGGGCTCTTGGTATGCTTCCCCAACTATGGGCTTTCAAGTACTTCATTAATTTATCGTCTCAATTTGGTATTCACACATTTTCTTTACACAGAGGTGTTCATGATTTCATCATAAACCAGAAGGTACCAAAGAAGAATTGGTAGGATAGGTGGCTCTGGGTGAGTCGGGATTTAGTCGGTTACGGTTATCCTCGTAGATCCAACTTTTTCCTGATCGGATTCCTACTCTTTGGGGGGATAGCGATCAGGTTGCTAACGCTATGAAGACCATCTCTTTCAATGGGGATGACTGGGAGGACCATATGCTTGTTGATGTGGGTATGAATGCTGCTTGGAGTTCTCGAGGAATGATGCATGCATGGATTGTTTGTTGTGGAGGATGGTAAGTGCTTCTCCCTTCATCCCTTTTTTGTTTTGCTTTCCTTCGGTTGCATTTGTTTTTCATAGTGTGGCATCCCCCCCCCCTTTTTTCTTTTTATTGTGTGCTTGATCTTCTTGTTTTGTTGTTAGGCTGTGAGAGGATCATTCCATTCGAGATGGTTTTGAAGGGTCATTTTTAGGGTGCCCGCCTTCATTAGGAGGTGTCGTTAGTGGAAGTGCTTCCACCGCCAGTTAGCATCGACTGTACCTTGGCCCTCTCTAAGTTGATCACTACTTCGGGTTTGATGTCTGATACTCAAGCAAACCCGACATTGGTTAATGCTCTATTTACGGGTGTTTCTCATGAATACCCCTTTCCTTCTGACACGGAGGAGGAGACCTCGATCAGGCTGGTGAGACAGGATAACTGCGTAGCCTCCAAGCGACGGCTTTCCTAGTTGGATTCACCGTAGGCGGAATCTACTGGGACTAGCTCCTTGAGCTGACGCCTCCTCAAGTGGAAGAATATGGACTTTATTTTGGGGGAGTCCACCATGGTAGTGGACATCTTCGATGATGACACTTCGAAACAGTCGGAGGGGTGAAAGAAGGGGCAATGGAACTTCCTTGTGATCCCAAAGAAGAGCCACTGGAACCTATTACTTTTCGTGAGAGTGTTTTTGGTGTTGACTCGGGCGTTGCTCACAAAGATGCTCCAAACTCACTAGTCCTGCTTTTGACTGGGGAGGATACTACTGGGGATTCTACTTCTGTTACTCCGACGACGTCGGTCGTATATGTACCATTGTACCAAATAGGGGATCACGCGGGAATACCGCCTTACATAGCATACAGTGACATATGGCTAGGGTTGCCATCCTTTTATCCCTACCACCATCAAGGCTTTGGATCTTCTTTCTAACTCACATGTTTCAAACAGTCTTTTGTATTTAGTCGCTCATGTTGGATCATACATGGTGGCGTCTGCTCATTGCCTCCGTCAAAGCAGTTCGAGTTACGTTGAGCTTGTTTTGATTAGGGCTAAGCGGGATGAATTGAGGGCGAGGTTGTTGGAGTTGGAGGGAGAAAAGCATGCATTTGATGACCTTTATGATCTTTTTGCATGGGAGAAGGCATCTTTAGAGGAGTACTTTGTGAGACTGGTTGAATCCATGGAGTGTTTGTCTCAACATGTGGAGGCATTGGTTGAGCAAAAAGGGGTATTGAAGGGTCGCGTTAAGGAGTGTTGTGGGTAGCTGGAGACGGAGAGGGTGAATAGGGAGAATGTGGAGGCGGATTTGTCTTGGCTCCGAAAGAAAGGGATTGTTCATGTTGTGGATATGTTGATTGAGAGCTCCAAGTTCACACTTGGGATTAAGCAAATGAAGGCTACGTGTATGGAAGTCGGGGTAGAGAGTGGCAAGCAGATAATCAGGGAGCAGGTTGCTAGTGGCAAGTTTACACCTGGAGAGATGAGCACCCTTCTAGAATATACCCAAGCCATGCATGTTGAGGTGAAATATTTTTTGGAGATAGATTTCGCCTCTTACCTCCACTTTGGCGAGCTCGACATGGATGGTCTTCTTCTACTGTGCAGTGACCCTGATATTGAAGGAGAATGCCATGAAGGAAGTACTTCTGGGACCAAACCTTCTCCCCCTGCCCCTGGTATGTGATTTCTGCTATCTCCCTTGTTATGTGTGGATTGCTTTTGGTCAGTGCAACTCCAACAATGTTTTCTTTTGAATGGTTTTTATTTGGTGAACAACTTTGGCAATGTTTGTTATTCGTTTTTTGGTGGTGTCGCGTGGCCTTTTTCTAAGTCTTGGATGTGTCCGGTGGATAATTTGTTCTATTTTATAAAAAAAAACATATCTTTGTATTTTGCTTGTGGTTTATTTGGCTTGATTCCTGGGGGGGGGGGTTATGTTGGCCACCCCGGGGCTGAGTTCTTTCCTGGACCCTGGTCAGTCCTTCGAATGCTATTCTTTATTGTTGTTCCTGTTTAAGTTTATTTTAGTTAAGAGATTGGCAGACAATTTTCTCTGTTAAGCGAGGATTAGCCGTTTTAGTTAATTCCCTTTATTTCTCTTCCCCTCTTTTTCCTTTTAGACTTTTATTCGGAGTTTTGGGCTCCTGGAGCCCCTGTCTCCGAGTTTGATTTATCTAAGCCATGCGGGAATTGTCATCTCGAGACTTTGATTCTTAGATATTGTTTTATTCTGAGGCAAAGGTTATAATTATTCATAGCCTCTAGCTATCCTACATCGTAATTCCCACCGTCCTTAGCCGGAGCAGGATTTTAGTTGGAAAAGGTTGCGAGCCTTTAAGGCCTATGATTGTGTTTTTTTGCAATGGTTTCATGTATGTGGCGCGGATGATTAGTCCATTTATGTTTTCCATTTGTATGAATGAGTGTTAATATGCGTGTGTTTCAAATCGTATCTTTTCATTGCATATTTTCTAGTGTCTTAGAGACATCTACATCATTAGATGAGTATCGGGGGTAGGGTAGTTAATGCTATTCTAGGTGTTGAGCATCAGCGCTACCGGTTGATCTAAAACCAATTGGTATTAGAAAGGGTACAACCTTACCCATATAGCGCATTCAGCCCTCCAGGACCAGGCGTACTCCAGGCCATCGTGCGAGGACTTGGTCGACACCATTTTTGACCCCAAACAATCCCCCCCCCCCCTCAGAAATTTCTCCCTGAGAGAATAGAACCCTCGCCACTGGCTCTGATACCACTTATTGAGCATCAGGGCTATCGGTTGATCTAAAACCAATTGGTGTTGTAAAGGGCACAACCTTACCCATATACCACATTTAGCCCTCCAGGACCAGGCATTCTATTGCGACACTCCGGGCCATCGTGCGAGGACTTGGTCGATGCCATTTCTGACCCCCAACACTAGGCGTAGCTTCAGGGATGGATTGTTGGAGCATGATTATCCGTTAGGAGTTTGATCACTTGGACCTTTCCCTGGGTCCCCCTCTCCTCCCCCATTCGAAGATTGTTGGTTTGGGCTATGGGACTCCTTGGCCATCAGAGTGATTTATTCTTTTTGGTATTTCTTGGTTTATGCCCCTTAATGGCTTGTTCCCAAGAGCTCTTCAACGTTCGTGCTCATGCGCGGGCCATGATTGGATATTTTTGGGTTGGTCGTCTTTCGGAGAACGATCTTCAGTTTTCTCCATTCCCTGGTTCTAGTTGTCTGGTTATCGTCCAGGGATAAATTCGTCTTGTTCGGCGTGCATGTTTGTGTTATTATGACCCTTTGGCTCCTATGTGGTTTGATGTTCCCTTTATTGTTTGAGATGTCATCCTGGAGGAAGTCTTTGCTAGTTACAAACCCTTACAGTTGCGGTTGGTCTCCTCTCGATATCTTCCTTTCTGGGGTAGTTACCTACCCTCGCTGCTCCATCTTTAGCGGTTTCCCCCTTGCGTTTTAGGTCGAGTTGCGATACTTCGCACGTATGCCCCGTTGTTTCCTCTTTTCTAGCATTCTGGCCTTTCGTTGTGCGATGACATGTTGGCGGGCTTAGCGATATCTAGCCTCGCTTGGTGTTCATGCTGACTAACCTCAATGTTTCTGTCATGGTAATGTTGTTGCTATCGCGCCCTTCTCTCCCCCCCTGAGTTGTTTGTGTAGGGGTGGCGACCTTTCTCATGTCGTGGATTTGGGTGGTGTTTATCCTTTCACATTTGACCATGTGGGTGGTAATTACTATCGTGCGCCACCTTCTTGGAATGTTCACGGTAGCCTAGGCAGTGATCGCCCGTTGTTGCTTTGCCCATGGGTTAAGGGTGGTCATTGTTAACAAGTCGTTGGTTGTCTTGAGTTTACTGTACCATGTATTTTTGATGGGATGGCTTGGATCCGGAAAGTTTTGGCTGCCTGAGGATCATATCATCGTCGGACCTATTTTTACTACTGAGAATTCGATTATCCTTGTTAACTTTTCCTTCATATCGTGGCTGAGTATTGTTAATGGGAGGCTTATGGTCCCGAGCGGCCACAAATTTTGTCATGTGATGCCGACAAGTGGGGCTCAGGTCGGTGGTTTTAGATTCTTTTTCTAGGATGTCGGCAGGCATTCAAAACAATGCTCGTAGAGGATGTCGGTGTTGCTGCCACCGTCGACCAAGGCAAGCTAGATCTGATGTTGTTAAATGTAGGCGGAGATTATGATTGGGTCTGTGGGGTCCTAGTTTGGGCGCTCGCGGGTCTCCCGGTGAGAAACTTATGTTCAGAGTATCGCTAGGTAGGCATCGATGCTATTGTCTGTCGATCAGTGCCAGTCTATGTTCTAGGGCTTTGTGATTGTGAAGATCTCTTCCTTATCGACTGGTTGTTTGTTTTCTTCCTTCTGGGTTCACCCGACTTTTTGTTCGGCTTCAAATTTTGATCATAGGGTCTTCACGATCTCCATGAGGTCTCCATTCAATTGGTTGTCCGCTACTTCTCTTTTGAGGATCGTGTATTCCCCGGTGTCGTGTGTTTTGCTCTTGTAGTATTCGCAAACTTTCCCTTTTCTTATTCCACTCGTTGAGGGGTTTTTTCCACAGCATATACTTCCGCCCTATAGCTCCTGGTCTCATCCTTGACGAATGGGCGGAACTTGCAATATGAGTGTCTCGAATGTCTGTTATGCTTGTCGTGACTTCCATCGTGGCACTCCTTGTGACTATGGTAGGATTGGGAGTCAACTGATTCTTGTTTGAGGTATCTGTTCGCTACAACTTTTATATTGTCTTCTTTGAGCTCTTCTCCCTTAATTTGCCTGAGGTATTTTTCGACCCTATACTTGAGTTCGTCCCTAGATTTTGGCATTGTTTCTTTCATTTTCCTCGACATGGGGCCTGGAAGTAACCCTTGGGAAAAAGCGCCTGCGACTAGAAACTCCTCATGACCGGAGACGCTCAAAGTTGCGAGGGTATACCAGTCGTACTATGCTCAGATGTGCTCTCCCTCTTTTTGTTTGCATGTCATGACCTTGGCTATCTCTAAACCTTGTCTTATTCATCAGCTAGATGTGAAAAATGTCTTTCTTCATGGCCACCTTCAGGAGATTGTGTACATGCACAACCCCGCGGCTTTAGAGACTCTCAACACCCAAACTATGTTTTCCATCTCCAACAATCTTTATATGGCCGTAACCAGGCCCCACGGTCCTGGTATCATTGATTTGATCAGTATGCTTTACACATAGGGTTTCGTCACAGTGTCGCTGACTCATCTCTATCATTTATCATCACGGTTCTGACATTGCCTACTTGTTATATGTTTATGACATTGTGTTGACTGCATCCTCCATGACTCTTCTTCAGTCTATTATTGCTCAGCTTAGTCGAGAGTTTGCCATGTCTGATCTTGGGGCTCTCAACTACTTTCTATGGATTTATTCTACTCACTCTCCTTATGGCCTTTTTCTCTATCAAAGAAAGTATGCTTCTGAAATCCTTGAGCGAGCGCACATGCTTCAGTGCAATCCAGCTCACACCCATGCTGAGACTACCCATAAGATGGATGCAACTAGTAATGCAACATATATGTTTGTTTATGCATGACCCTCGTGAGCCCAACCTAAATGCTCTCAAACGTATTTTGTGCTACATCTGAGGGACTCTAGACAACAGTCTTCAGCTTCATGTATCCCATACGTTAGATCTTTGTGCATATTCTAATACCAACTGGGGCGGCTGTTAAGTCTCTCGTTGTTCCACCTTTGTATAATGTATTTTTCTCGGTGACAACCTCATCTCTTGGTCGTCTAAACGCCAAGGGGTCATTTCTCAGTCTAGTGTAGAGGTGGAGTGTCGCAGCGTTGCTAATACCATTGCCGAGAGATTTTGGGTTTGAAATTTACTTAGAGAGCTTTGTTTTTCGCCTACTAAAGCCAATATTATCTACTACGATAACATTAGCTATGTATACATGACATGGAACCTAGTTTAGTACCAACGCACGAAACACATCGAGATTGATATTCATTTAGTTCGTGATCTGGTTTCTAGAGGGGGCGCTCGAGTTTTTCACATTCCCTCATCCGTTCAGTATGCCGACATATTCACCAAAGGCCTTCTGACACAACTCTTCAACGATTTCAAGACCTATTTGAACGTTCGGAATTCTCTTCCTGATAAAACCGCGGGGGGATGTTATCATATATGCTTTGTATATACATATGTATTCTTGTTAGTTAGCCCATTAATGTTAGGGCTTTGTGTATCCGACCTTTGTGGTATGTTTGTATTGTGTACATATACCAATTATTTAATGAGAATGGTTTTTCATGTGAACACAATTATTAACAATCCCCACTCCTCAGTTTTGAACTTTAAATCCATACCAAAACTATACGTTTGGAGGCATCTTTCTCGGGGCAAGAAATCAAGGAGATAGAATAGTCCTGTAGAAGTGAAAAAAGTCACGGGTCAGGATGGACTTTCTTTCTCTTTTCTCAAGAGCTATTTGGAGGTACTGAAATTTAATCTTTCTTAATATGTGGTTGATTGTTACTTGAGTGAGCATATTCCTAGTGGTTTCAACTCTTCGTTCATTATTTTGATTCTGGATATAATAACACAATTTATGTAAAAGATTTATGGCATGTTAGTCTAATTGGTTTGCAATATGAATTTATTGATAATATACTAGCTAATAGGCTTGA